AACATCGGCCTTGCCCGTTTCAGGCTCCCTCTCCATGGCCCATTGTTTGGTCTGTCGCTCATCCTCGGCTCGCAACAACTCGTCCTCCTCGCCATCGTCTTTTTCAATCGGAATTGTCTCGATTTTCCGAGGCTGACTTGGCCCTTCTTTCGGCGTTGCCCTTGGCCGTGGCGGCTTCCGAGCCCTCCGAGCTTGCGGGAGGCTAGCAGTGGTAGGTCGCTTGAAAGCCGGATGGGAGAAGATCGTGGTGGCCATCATACGCTTTGCCGACGACGATTCAGACTGTGATGCGGTAACATCAGTAAGACCTCCTTGGTCGTCTCTGTCCCATCTTCCAAACAGAAAGACTTAGGGAAGCCCGAGCCATTCTTCATTCATGTCGGCACATACTTGAACGAAAGCTTCCTTGCATCGAGTCATTTTTCTGACCACTGTCTGAGCTCGCTGCAGTATCTCTTCCTACTCTTTGCTCAACCCTTCATCTGCGGCCTTGGCATCTTCAATCATCAATGACTCCATCGCTGCTTCCAACTCGATCTGTTCGACTTCTTCCGGGGAAGCCAGTCGAAAAACTGTTGGAAGTTCTCGCCCCATACGTCGGAAGGCTTCCTTTCTCATTCCTCCTTCCACGTTGGGATCGATGAGATTCCCTTCGAAGTCGTGGACCTCGCCTCGGATATTCGTGTAAAAAACCTTTTCGTTTTCATCTCTGGTAACGGTTTAACAAAACCGTATCCCATGCCCATCCTGTCCGCAGTACTTGCAAAACCAATTCTGCCAATTACCTTGGCCGCCCCCATTTCCTCGGCCTCCCCCAGTGCCTTGTCCTCTACCTCGACCTCGGCCTCGGCCTCCTGCCTGAGGTTGGGGTTGCTCAGGAAGGGTCTGCGCCGCCTGTTCCTGGTTGCTTCCTTGTCCACCTCCTCCATTATTCTTCCGTTGCTTTTTACTAGTGCCCTGCCCTCCTCGTATCTGGTTCACGACCTTCCGTTCCGCTTTAGTCAATTTTCGAGTGGGCTCCACTTCCTTCTCGTCTTCCTCTTTACTGTTGCTACTACTTACCTCCTCCACAATGGATGTTTTCCCCTTCCTTTTCCCTCCTTTCGTCTGGACCATCATTACTTGTAGCTTTAACCTTTCTTCCTTCATGTCAGCCATCATGTTCCGCATGTCAGTTAGGGTTTTGTAAACGGCCTGATCCTTGTCCGCGCTTACCCCTTCCTTCTCGCGGTCCTCCTTTTGCTGCGTCAGGAGACGGTAAAGCATCTAGTCGAAGCTTCCAGCCAACAAATTCTCCTTGATCTTTGGCCAGTCGTATCGACCAGTCATATCCTTTATCAGTTTCCGCTGCTCAACTTCTGAAAAGTTTTTGAGGAAGATGAGGCACCGATCCTTATGAGGAAGGTCAGGCACTAAGCGCGCGACTCGTTCAAGTTCTATGAGAAACTGCTTGGTCGTACCAAACTTCCGACGAGTAACTTTCCGTAAGTCCGCCAGGTCGAGCAGTTGATCCCCCAATTGGTACTTGTCCAATAACTTGGCTTTGAAGTTCAGCCAGTCGCGCGAGGCTTGCACCAACTTCGACACTTCTTCTTTGTACTCGACCATACAATATCGCTTCACCATTTCAAGCATCTTTTCACTCGTCCATTCACAACAGCTGCCCAGTTGCTCAAACTTGACCGCCCATGCTGAGGCATTGGTGCCATCTAAGAGGGGAACTTGAACTTTCGACAGTTGCG